TCACCAGAACAAGTCTTGAGATAAGAATCTTAACAAATTTCTGGAATTGCTTTTTCCTTCATAGATAAAAATGTTCTGCTTTCTTACCATCTAAGCACACATTTAAATAATCAAGATGGCAGAAATAAAATGGAGTTTTCCAGCAGAAGAAAATCCATGGAGGAATGATGTCCTGAAGTCAAATGGAAGGTACAACGAGTGGTTGGAGAACTCTACCGCTGCCCCAGTACTCCAGCTTGGACCAAGGGATGTCCTGCAATTAGTGGTCATATATAAATACCCAGAGATGGATCCAGCATCTATTGAATATCATTAATTACCATGTGGCTCTGCTGGATATGAAGTTTACCCATAGGTTATGAACTGTGGACTCAGGTAGAATGGTGATATGGCAATAAAATACCCTTCCTTCACTAAAACACTTGGGTTATTCCTAACATCAGAAAATAAAAATAGGATAAAAAGGTATGTATGACATAAATATTTCAGTGCCTGCCCTATATTCTTGTATAATAAAGAACAACCCTGAAAAGTCCATAGATGTGGCTGTTGTGTGAAGTACAGATTTCCCCTCTACACTGTACTGGATCTAACTATTCAATGTACAGGAGAGAAGAAATATGACAAGGGAATCAACAGAAAGACCTTGAAAATCTTAATCTATTTTTCCTTTCTCAGTACGAGGCTTCTTTAAAGACAGGAAAGATGCTACTGAAATATAAAATGAACCATAAAGCTAGGTAGTGTTGCTTGATCTTGTTTTGACTCAGACCCACACAAAACAATTTATTGTCAAGCTATTTATATATTTATATACACATATATAGAGATAGTTATTAATGCTCACTATTAAAAAAGATATAATCGTAGTTTGATAGGGACTAATGGGAAAAATGAGATAACACGACAGTGTTTCTGTGGAAAGTATGAGTTGGTATCTGTTAAAAAATTAAAAGTATATAAAACACTACAGCACAACTTTATTTTTTTTTGTCAGAGATTTGCTGTAAAAATTTGACAAATATATTGATGTTGCAGACTTTGGTAAATACCACCCACACTCAGTTGCCTGTACTAGGTATTCTAGATCTCAGACAGTTTGGAAGCCATAAAAACCTGTTGAAAAACTGATGATCACACAATTACTAGCAAAAGTAGTATTAAAAAAACTAAAATAAAAATTTACCTCTACTTTTTATTTTTCTTAAGCTTTGATATGACAGAGGTGGAGAGAATATAATGAGAATATTAGACTTTGATACAGCAACTTAAAAATGTTCTTAACCTTTAGTATTATTAGGTCCCTATTTTCTCACAGAAATATTATTACCATTTGATTTCCTCATTCTGATCTAAGGTACTTTTTATCATTTAGCCCCAGACTATGTCTACGCCAGGAGAGACAAACTTCACTTTGATATATTAGTTGACATATTAGTTTATTTGCCTACATACTCAAGCTTGTTTGCCTTCAGGGATCTTAAAAAATTTTACCTAAATAAAGAGTATTCACTGAAATTATTTACAGCCACACTGTGCTTTTGATCTATATGAATAGTTTCCGCAGATTTTACTGATGTTTCAGGCACAGAGTGTTAAATTGCACTGTAGCAATAAATGCATCCCCTTTCATTACTGCTTGACTACACAATGGAAAAAATTCTTATTATATTTCTTAAAAGTTTAAAGATTTTTTTCAGACTAGCAGTTTTGCCTTCCCCCTTCTCCTCTGCCTAATATTAATTCCTTGCTCTGATTTTTTACTTCTGATTTATTCAGTCTTGGATAGCTTTAACTAGAAATGGTAAAACTTGCAATATAATATTTTAATTTATATTAGTACTAGTAGGATTGCCTGCCTTCTTTGCTGATCCAGTCTTTATGCTGCTTAGAAGACATAGCGGAAAGGTTTTACATTTGACTAACATATACAGGCCTTTCTGAAACTAGAGCCCATTAATTTTTGTTGTTTTCTTCAATTTCAATGCATGAGTTTTTGTTTCTCTTGATTCTCAGAGATTTGACATTTACACATTAATAATTTTGTATTGCTGTATATCTTAGATATTTATTTATAGTTAAAATGTATCTTTTAAGAAATAAGCTGTAAATTACTTTTGATAGTTGCCTAGAGGACACCTAGATACTATTCCTCATATAAATGGTTGCATAGAGAGCAAATTACTTAAATAGCCTGACATTCATCTAAGGTCACAATATTCTTGTTATTTATGAATACTTAATTATAAGTAAAATTAAAGTTTCAAGGAGACTAGCTGTTGATTTTAGGGTCTTTTTCTTTAATTGTGAAAGGTTTTAGGAACTCAAATATTCCCGTGACTATTGTTTATACTTTTAATGAGATATGTGACCAATTTTCCATTGATTCCCTTTGACTTTTCTGACCCATAAACATTATAAATCTGTAGTAAATCTCAGGCCCAGGCTCTGCTATCCAGTTTTCCAATAAGACAGGCCCAGAATGAAGCAAAATTACCCCTCTTACATTATTTAAATTGTTAGGAAAATATCAAACAAAGAATGAGCAAAGAGAACTTTACTCCCTTACAGCGAGAGAAAACCTATAGCAGCTTTTTCCTCAGGACTGGGCTGGAGATGAAAATGAAGATTGGCAAGATTTGAGCACAGGTCCATAATGCCGTATCCTCTGTCTGCATATTGCATAGTGATTCTGATTCTCACCAGGTTGTTCAGACACAGTCAGACTTCTCCAAGTTTTCACTTCCTTCCCACATACTTGTTAGTGGCTGTCTGCAAACACAGGTTTATATGTGACATTCAGTCTCTGAAATATATATGCCCTTTATAAAAAAAAAAAGAAAAAAAACAAGCAAAAAAGATGTATTTTAATGCAATGAATGTACCTATGACTACATACATCAAGGAAGAACAA